TCATGTAATACATCCAGCAACAGAACAAAAGAATAATTATGCTGGTCAACCATCATATGTCAGCTCTGAACAAGAAGAAAAAAGGCTAAAATCTTCAATGGTGCTGAAATTTAATTGAATTACTTCATTCCAGGGAAATCATTTTGTTAAGTCAGGGAGGTGAAGGTTCAGATTCATTCACATTCGCACAAATATGTTACCTGCAGATGTTTAAGTGCACGTGGGTGTCAATATAAACATCTAGCTAATGTGGAGCTATGGGTGCAAATGCAGTTGAGCATTTTTGTTTCTTTGTGTGCTAAATTTCTGCAGTATTTCTTGTCTATTTGAGCAACATCTTGACAAAGACAATTATTTGTTTTTTGACTCTTTTCTTTCTATATCATTTCCGAAGTGTGTATATATATATCTTTTTTTTCTTGATAAGAAGAATCATGCAAGGGCTGCCTCTTGTACATGGAAAGGGTAGCAAAATGCAACCAGCCTTCCAGATGAAATTTTAAAGCATATTTATTATTCTTGGGAAGCCCAGATGAGTTCAGTCATTTGGTTTCTAGTGGAGTCTTGTGGAACAGAACACACCAATCTCATTAGTGTCTCTCACACTTGTCTGTATCTTTCACAAAAATGAGACAGTAATGAAGCTGAATGCAAAGCACAGCAGCCCTCTGCAAACCTGCAGTAGTGTTTGATGTGACAGATCACAAAAAGCAGACCCTGTCAAAAATGAATGTACAGGGAAGGAAAAGGACCCCAAGGTCAGAACTCTGTCCTTCAAAAGGTATCATTTTCCTTTTTTTCCTATTTTAATTGGGGTCTATTAGCATCTTAAGAAGAATTAAACTGTCTAAAGAATTAGACTTTGCAGCGATTTTTTTTTTTTTTTAAAGCTTTTATTAACAGTTATCCTCATTCAGAAAAGAGTTATCCTCATTAACTAAGTGTCATCACTATCAACAGAGAAAAGCTGCACACAACAAGCCTGTGAGGGAAATCAGGATTTTCCCTTTTTACATAAACTACATGACTAAATGAAAGTGATGAACAAACAGATTAAGTTGGACAAAAGGACAGTAAGTGCTCTGCTAGAACTAGGAAGGAATTGAAGATATACAGGTACCACATTTAGCCACTGGGACATGAACTCTGCCAACCCTACATGAATATGGATGACAGAAAACTCAAAACCTGAGGCCTCCATTACTGGAGCTGTACATTGCTCAAACCAAATAAGCTGTTCCATGACCTGTCTCCTTTCGTAGCCTTTACCAATTAGGCCAAAATTCTTAGTATTTTTCTTTCACTATTTAAATTGCTGGCATTATTAAAACAGCATGCTTTGTACAGCTTCATTTCTAATGCTGGTAACGTTCCTTTTTAGGATTAGGGGGCTTTGTCCAGGTAACCTGCAGTTCAGATTCCCAACACAAGAAGCTTAGGAGACAATTTAAACTCTTCATATCTTTTGAGTTTTCCTCTGTTATATTTCTGCATTGTCACTGCCTTCAGCTATTGATGTTCATCAACTCTGAAGGTCTGCACAGAAAGCAACACACTTTTCTTGTTCTGGCTGTAAAACATTCAAGATATCTATAAATAGTAAGTTGGACAATTATAACACTGGTATTGATGAGTTCCTACTGCTTCTATGTAAAATTCAATAGTTCTTTATATAATTTTAGACTTTACTTAGGTTTAAAGAAATAAGCTAACGAAGCAGAGAGGGAAAACAAGAACAGCTAGCTGTTATTCACATTTCAGGCATAACCAATACTTCATACTCCAGCTGGCAGAGCTTTATACAGGAATCAATATATCTGTGAGAAATGGGAATGTTTTCAGATTACATGTTCACAGCACAGCCGAGTTGTGCACTCTGGCTCTCTTTTCCAGTGTCCAAAATATATAGCACGAGACTTTTTTTCTGTTGTTGAAACTGACAGATAGTAACTGCTGGCACTGAAATAACAGCAAGGAAGCATACGAACGTGATTAAACTAGACAGCCTTGAGGGAAATTTTCAGAAAGTGTTCGATTTAAGAATGTGCAGGGAGTACGAGAACTGAGACAGGATTTGGAATGACTTCTAGGATCCACTGAGCAGGCAATTTCACCTTTCCGAACCTCAAATCCTCTATTTGCATGTCAATATTACCATGCAAAGCTCTTCACAAAAAGCAAATGACCATACAAGCAGCTTTGGAATTCTCTGACAGTGAAATAGCAGAGCTTAAGGCTACTTGATTTATAAACCTTGAAGGTTCAGCATTTGAAAAATCATTAGTTTCCTCTAATCCTGAAACTGAAGGAGAAGAAGAAATAATTTTCTATATTTAAATATTTTAAAAGAATTTATTTACTTTATGGCTTTACAGGTTGGATAGCTTTACAAGTGCATTCATTAAAATAAACATTTTCCAAGATTACTGATCTCCCCATTTTCCTCTTCCTGTTCTGCAGTTTTTCCAGCTCTATTTCTTCTGAAGCATTAAAAACAATGTAAGACTTCTGTAAATTTGTTTTTAACATAAAACCAAATAGCTACTTCAGGGCAGTACATGGACAGCCATACACCGGATAAGGAAGCAGAATCCAAGACTTTTCTCCCTGTGTATCGTTTCCCATTACTTGGGGGTTTTAAAACTGCCAAGCAGAGACAAAGCCAAACATCACAGCAAAGAACTCCCAGCCAGAATTCCTCTCCAGTTCCATTTGCTCAGCTCCACTTGGCAAGATTGGAGACATGCAATTGGCTTCATCTTCCTTTAAGCCACTTACAATTTACTGTGTTAGCTTCCAACAAGGCAGACAGGGGCAGTGTATGTCAGCAAAAGGCAAGAATGAATAACCTAAACCACACCAAGGGCAGCATACAAATAACCTTATTTAAACACGCAATCTTGGTGTCAATTATTTATTATCTGCAGCATTTGGAACATGTGCTATTGCTCAAGGTTAAGACACAAATACCAGACAGTCACACCCAAAAAAGAAAGAAACATGTTTTTCTGTTACAAAATACTGAAATACCAAATGAGTATCACCCAAATGTACCTGGAACTAATATAAATATCCTTTCAGTAAAATAATCAAAGCACTCACTTGACTAAAAAAGGAAACCCAACATAAAAAGCACAAACAAGGCAGGGAAAAGAAATAATGTCTGCATTTAAGAAATGAAAGGAAAATGCAGAACTGATTAAGGAAATCAGGGGAGCCAAAGAAAGGGGTTTCAGAACAGAATTTCAAGATTTATACAGCTGGCTGTGTACACAAACATCTGCATTTCTCAACTACAGGAACATTATTTCTTGGCTTAGCTCCACAGTCAGCTAGAATTTCAGAGTCATCTTGATCACAATCAGAGGTTATTTGTGATGCTATTTCAATGAAGGATAGCAGCTGAAACTTAACATTCTTTCTACTTAATGTTCTCAGGAACATGTTCTGCCCTCTGTCATAACTGATTTCATTTTTTCCCTCTAAACTGTGATATATTGTATTATAATATGCTTCTAGTATTTTTTCCACAGTGCAAGCATCTAGAATCAGATCTTGTAACCTTGCTTACTAATATCTAGTGTCTTTTAGTGGCCATGATAGTGACAAATATTCTCAGAATCTAGGTAGATTTCTCAACAGTCTTTTGGACTATGAAACCATTGTGAAAATTAAGACATACAACATCCACACTGCTGTGCATAGCTCCTGTAAGACCTGAGCCATTTCTCTCTAGGCTAAAAGAAAATTTTGAGGGATAACATATTCTTAGTGTTTATCTGAAACCTTTTTATCATGTATTTAAAGCAGTCATCATCATAAATCTCAGTCTCCCTCCCCCCATCCAGTTATTACACACAAATGCAGAAGGAGGCTCTCTATTCCAGTGCTAGTATTTTTGTATCTGACATATGTATTTCATTCTGAACTCCCTGCAGTGCTGTTTCCCTGGCTGTATTCCCAGGATCCTGTGTTACATTCTCTGTGCAGGTTCTCTACTCTCCTTGTTATTCCTCTCTCAAGCATCTTTAGCTAGCATCATGCCTCTTTATTGGCTGGAAAATCTCAGATGTCTTTGGATACAACTAAACATTTAAAGCTGAGGATTTACACACCAATTAATTGCAGAACAGGATCTGTGTTTGGGTTGTTAAGATGCATCATTTCCATTAGAGGCTACAGGGTTGTATATATTAAAAAAAAAAAAAAAAAAAAAGCAACAAAAGCTTGAATGCGAATTCTCTTTCTGGTTACTTTCATTGTTCTGTTTCACAGCCCAACCTTGCAGAGGCTGTGACAAATTGCGAGGTCATGATCAAATTTAATAACATCTCACATTCCCCTGGAAATGCTACCAGGGAACAGACAAAAGAAAGCATTTGCTGAGCTCCTAGGGGAAAACAAAGTATTTGCTCAGAAGCCCTTGGTATGCAGATGGTGTCGCTGCCTTTAGAAATGGGCTTAGATCTGAAGTCAATAGGAACAAGCTGGTGGGGATGACACAGAGGGAGGGAGCATGCCACAATGTAGCTTAGGAGGACAACCTATACACGAAGACGGTAGTGCTGGCTTTTTGTTCCTGCATTTCTGCTGCGTCCCAGGGACAGATTAATAACTTCTCTGCTCAATCAATAAAAGGAAAAGAGTTCGCTGTATACACATAGGGTGGAAATTAAATAAGCAAAGAACAAGCTTTCAAATGGCCGTGTCCCTTTGCAAGCAGCGCATCTCCCCTGACAGCCCGAATTACCAGAAGGCAGCCAGTGCCACCGCGTGGCCACTCAGCGCCCAGTTTCTTCTTCCCTTACGTTACTGACCAAGCAGGATACGCTAAAAGACGACCCTTTAAGGCACAACAGGTTCCTGCTCAGTATACTGAATATTACAGCAGGTAAGTTATAACTGTGCTACAAGATGAAGAGTGAAAACTCAAACAGGTTCTCAGCAAACCAAGCACATTTCACATCAAGCAGACTGTCTTCCAGTATCTTTGTACCTACCTGTGCTGGGCTTCAGCCGACTCTCAGCAAGCTCAGAGATTGCTCCAGTCGTAATGGTCTTCTTCAGTCTAGAAACTCCAGTAGCTGCTGTCACCCCTGGTTTTGTAAGCATATCATCACTGCATGCCCTCTTCAGCTACAATAAAGAGATTTCATGAGCAACCAGAAGATTCAGAAATTGACTATTCCCACGAAGCCATTCCAAAAGCCAGGTTCATGAGAGAAAAGAACCATTTCCATAAAGTAACCCAGTAGAAATATTGCTAAAAATCCTATCTCATTTTTAATTTCTTTTTAATATTACTTATATTGCATTCTAGATTTTTGAGAAGTGGGTTAAGATACAATACCGTTTCAAGAGTAAAGATGAAAACCAGGAACAAGTGTTTATGTTAGCAAGTAACTAAGATGATGGGAGAAAAAAAGTCTACAGTAATAAGACTACTGGGTATTGCTAGCTTCTCAGATGCTGCCCTGACCAGCAACCATTGGATTTCCTCACTGGTTTACATTTACTGAAATATTTAGGTCTCTGCATTTCAGTGCCAGCTGACACATTCCATTTCATGGAAGAAGAACTATTTGCCTTACATGCTACTTTACAGTATATTTTTAAAAATAGTATATGATATCACTATATATTATTCACATGCCTTATTGTACATGAGAAAGCAAGGAACTGTTGTTGCTGTGCTGCCTTTCTTGGGACAGGGATTTGCTTTTAAATTTACTCTAAATCAGAACACTTAAGTACCAAGTCATCTCAGAACTTTTGGTCAGCTGCTTCCCCATTTCTGTACCTCTAACAGCTTACGTACTTCTGATAAAAACCTGAATGTATTTCTCTTGAAAGTAAAGCATTTTAAAAGACCAAACTCTAGAGACTCCTTAGAAGGGTATTTTTCTATCCTTCACAGCTTGTGGACACTTAAGCTGTTTTCACAGATCAAAACCAAATTCCTTAGAGGTTGTTCAGTGACACACTGGGGGTCCACAAACCACAGGCTGAAAACCACTGCTCAGGTTGAAAAAGAATGCACATGATGATGTACATTCATCTAGTTAACAGTTTCTAAATGTAAAATCTTAAAGCAAAATAAGACCTCTCTCAACTCCAATTCTTTCTCCTTTTTGTCTCTGACTCAATCTGTGGCTTCCTGGACCCCATGAGCATGCAAGTTTCAAAAGCTGCTGCTGATCTGCTTCCGGAAACCAAACAATGTTTCACCTTCTGCCAGAAGTTTTTACAGCTCCCCCTTAATAGCAGAAAGGAATAATTTGAACTTTCTGACCATTTAGAGACCTCAGCAACCACTCTACATAACTTAGTCAATGAATCCTCTTTTACAGCAGCAACCGTTAGCTCTCTTTTTAACTCTTTTTTCAAATATACTAAGAAGGATGCTCTGAAAGTAATGCCTCCTATTTTATGATATTAGACTATGATATTAGCAGCAGATGTTGGTGGTATAGCAGTGGAGGCTGAACTTTTTCACCAATACTCACTGAATTTTGTTGCCATGCAACAGATGGCAGCAGAGAGGCGGTCTGACAAAACACTGACATGGAGTGCACATGAAGCAAAGGCACCTAATTGAATTCCTCCATGCAGAAAAAATTGCACCTACTGGCATTCATCAATGCTTGCTGAATGATGATGGAGACCAAACAGTAGATGTGAGAACAGTGAGGCATTTCAGCAGTGGTGACATGGTCAATGGATCCTGTTCACTGGAGTAGATTTTTTTATTTTTGTTTTTAAACAAGTGTGGCATTCAGACTCATGTTCATCGCTGGTGAAAATCCATAGCTAATGGCAATGACTATGCTGACAAATTGTATTTTGTAGCTGAAAATTTGGTCTATCAAGTAGTGCTGTTGTGCTTCATAGCTGCCATAGTTTCCATGGAAATAAACGGGAGGCGTTACTTTTGGAGTGACTTACGTAAACTGATGATCTTGCATTTGCAGTTGTTCAATAATCTCAAAATATTAGCTGTAATTAGGAAGAAAATCCTCTGCATTTAACATATATGCAAATCAATCATATCAAATTTCTGGACTAGTGTCTTCAGCAGCATCCCTTCAGAGGTGCAAAAAATAAGGCAGAAATGTCTGCACAGGATTTATTACCTTGCTGAGCCGAGATTCAAAAGTGAGTGAAGTCGAGGACTTGGATGTCTTCATTCCTGATGAGGCAGTGGGAAGTGACTTTCCTCTGTCAACCCCGTGACTTCCTTGCTTTGACACTGCACTCCAAGGCCTGGCAGTACTCTTCATTTTTTCTCCCCCAGAGTAAATCAGTCTACAGACCCTAAAAAAAAAAAAAAGTGTTAAAAAGTGTCTTTTCATCTGAGAGAGCAAAGCAGAGATACCTGGCATGAGTTTAAAGAGCTGAAAAGGATTGATCAAATTTTGTTCCTTCTGTTATAAACGTAAGACCTCAGCCTATAGTGTCCTTCAGTACAGGCTGCAGCCATTTACATTTTTAACAGTGACTGGAAACATGAAACAACACAGACAGAACAGTGATTTTTGTTGGGACTCTGCAAGTCAGAAACCTTTGTCAACCACAGCAGAAAACCCACGAATGCCTAAGCTCAACAAAAGAGCAACTGAGGACACTTGTGAGAAAACTTACAACAACTGAGACAACGTTGGCATAAAAAGAAAACTCTTTCTTACTGTTAGATCTAGAATATCTTCAACTGAAATACTACTCTTTTAAGAAAAGCCACATGAGAAGTAAGTTTCCTCAGTCATACAGAGAATATTATATATCTTTAACTTATCAGTCTTCTACAGAAGCAGCTGAGGTTGCCCTGGTGATAAAGATGTGTTTCACAATACCAAGATTTACAAACCATGGTAAAAATAACAACTTCCTTGCAAATAACAAAACAAAAACCAGATCCACTGTTCCTCAGAGATATGCTTATGCAAGAGAGAAATCCTGCCTGGATCAGGAAATAGAATTTATTTTTTATTATAGCTGAGTAAACCTGATCTGCCAGCAAGAACAACTACTCTGCCTCTCACTCTCTCAGTAAGCAGGCTGCTGAGAATTCAGTAGCTCAACTCCTGTAGATCTAAATCCATACATTTTCAACGTTCCATTTCCCCAGTCCAAACCAGGAGCAGAATAAAACAATTATAGATATATTCCTGTAGTCCCACGAGCCTGCAGGGCTGGGAGTGGGAGGGAGAGGAGACCGCCTGCTATCTCCTCCACACTTCAGCACGAGCAACATTTTTCTTCCTAAGCTCCAATTCTAAAATAGACACAGGATGCAGTTGCATATCATCTTATGTTGACAGAAGCCAACTTGTTTCTACGTTGAACAGGTAATATCCAAAGATCTACAAAGAGATCAGCAAGGAGAAAGCACGAAGCAAGCAGTAAGTGCCTGCTGTTTATCACACAGAAGTCCAGCTGGGCAAGTGTGACCTTGGATGGCAACCCTGTGACAGAGGTGCCAAAACAATTTCCTCCTGGCTGAGTCAGTAGAAGGGCTTAGATCACTTTTTAATCTCACAATTTATTTTCTGCATGATTTCACATTCACAAATAGCACTCATCGAGCACATGGAAAGCAAATCACTTAGGGGACAAGACACAGCACTCACAGCAGCTTCCGTGTGCCACCACGGTCTGTTCAAGGAGTGCTTTGCAGCACAGAGGCAAAGGGAACATCAGGTGCTGTGCTGCTGTCTGACAGACCAAAGCCAGCAAGTAGCAGTTGCTCTGTTTATCCTCAGTGCTTCCTGCAAGGTTTGCCTGCTTTCCCTGCAGCTCTAACCTGCAAGCTGCTAAATAAAGAAATTACAACATCATTACTGGCTAATATTATTAGTAACTAAAGCTATTCCTCCATTAAAATTCTTAACACACACAGCATAGAGCCATCAACTGATCTCATTAGAGGAAAAAAGCAGTACTGTTTCTGTTGATAAGGCTGATCAGTTAGCTGCTTTTATGAAGCTGGGACAGACACGTAAGCGATATTACAAAAGAAAATATTTAGCATCTCCAGACTCCATGATCTACCTTAAGGAGCTTCAGTGCTTGCACATATGTAATAAACTGCTTTATAATGAGCATACCATTCACTGCATTTATATGGGTGAACAAGCAATTACAGATGCAAGCTATCTTCCTGATTAATCTCCAAATTATGCAGATTTGGGTTTTTGTACAGTCAGTGGTTGCACATACCCTCTGGATCTCTTCATAATTACCTCATATTTTCCTGCCTTAAGATGCACAGATGCTTTCTTGGTGCCAAAAGATTTTAATTTTGAGTCACTCGTGGCATTTTGAAGTTGCAGTGGAGAGATATGCTCATGAGGGCACAATGCTGGAAGCAAAAGGAGGAGGTACCAAACAACAAAACAAACCTGAAGCCGTATGCAGCCAGTAGCCTGCAGCAAAGCAGCTTTATCGTGTAGTGATAGCTGAGTTGTGCCATGTGGGTTTAATAATAATGTACCACATCAAAGAGATGAAACTAACATTGAGAAGAGGATATTTGGATTTGTTCAGTGTTTTCCACAGATTTATATGGGAATCAGCATTTGTGAAATGTGAAGCTGATGCTCCTGATGCAATTGACTAACCTGAACCTCTACTGCAGATAAAAAGGTTTCCATCTGTGTAGTGGAACCCCAGTATTTTCCACAAGCCTTGTACGTACTTCAAAGGATAAAGACAAGTTTCACACCTCTTATGCAGGTTTCACTCTTAGGCAGGCGACACACATTATTAGAAGCTCTGCTTCGAGAGAAGTGCCAAATAAAACTACTTCAAAAATAAAATAAAATGGTACTGTGCTTTGATGAGAGCAGGAAATACATCCTAAGAGTTTGCATCTGCTTCTCTTTGCCTCAAAATTCAATTTATTGCATTACAAGAAAATAAACCAGGAAAAGTTTAGTATCAAGTAATGGTTCATGGACAGAGTTAGGCGGGCAGCAATGAACTGTTAAGAAAGTGTTAACTTGGGTATCTGTTGTGGCTGCAGACAGTTAGCATTCAGGAAACAGAACTTGTATTTGTGCACCAGTGGGTAATGGCTCCCAGTTAGTGTACAATGCATTGAGAGAAGCCTGCTATACTTGAAATAAACATCAGTGTTTCCTTTCAGAAGAACGCCAGAGAGATTATGACTTGATCTCTAGGCTCCCCACAGAGGGAAATCTGGAAAAGAACAGCAGAAAAAAGAAGTTGCTTTACACAAGAGATGCAGTCAAGCTGCTGTCACAAACGCAATGACAAAAATCACTGCTTTTCCATCCCTTATGTCTCATACATTCAGATGAGGCACACTTCTGCTCTCTCTCCCAGAAGCCGACTTTACAAGCAATGTCCAGATCTCTACAATTTTAATTTCTTTCTTCACGTTTTACAGGGATCTTTCCTTAGGAAACAGATCCCAGCCCTGCCTCTCTCTGCTGTCAGCCAGAGCAGCTCACGAGTGGGCTGCAATTACAGCCCAGCAGAACTCTCTGCTTGGAGCTATGCTCTGAAAATGCATACAAACTGAAGATAAGGAGCAGCCCCATGCTGAAGTAAGTGGGGGTTCATGCCAAGAACATATTTCTTAAGAGCAGCAAAATCAATTCCATTACCAGTAATTTCCAGAATTAGACTGAAGGTGCCTTAAAAAAAATTAAATATTTCCTACTCAAAGAACACTGGTGTCTGAGTGTCCCTGTCACTCCTGTTGGAAATGGGTGCTGCAAATGAAATAACAGGAGGACTTATAAAAATGGAAAGCTAGTCCTGACAGAGCTTTTCCTCTTAGTAATCCTCAGGATTCCCTGCAGGCATCAGTCTCTAACAACTCAGGCCATACTGTACAATACATCCTAACTCACTGTTTTTTAAAGGGAATTTGGAAAGTCTTGACGTGGACTATTTTAGAAGTTGCCAGAGGAAGCTTTAGAGTGGAAAAATGATCCATTTTACTTACAATGTAATTGTTTTATTAAAGATTGAAAACCTAGACAATTCTTCATTAGTCAGTCTGCATGCACTTATTAATAAAAGTTTTTAAAGCCAGCCTAGAATGGTTCCCATTTTATGGCTAGAAAAACTGGATACAGAATTTATTCCAACTCTCACAGGCAGTCAGCATCAGCAGAAACAACACAGGTCCCTTGGATCTCAAGGCTTGGCTATCCATCAAAGGAGGAATCCACCCATCTCATAGAACAAACTTCTAGGAAACATTCTGCTGGCTGTCAAAGGCTGCTTTCCTCTGAGTAACTAAATAAGATTAGATTGAACTGAATGGCAACAGAAATATTCTATAGTCAGGAAAACTTAGCAGTTACACTGTTAAGTACACAGATATCACTAACAGAATATCACTTGCAGAAATTAATTTCCATAAGAAACTCCCAGAGAAGAAAGGAGGACATACACAGAGTTCTGTACCCCATGAATTTCACATGATTTAGGTTTCAGTGCTCATCTCTGTGTGCAATGTTACCTACTCTATGGAGCAGCCCAGCTAAAGCAGAATCATTCAAGTTGCTTTCGCCAAACAAATGAAAAGAATAATTGTCAACATTCTTTATAACACTCACCTGTAATGAGTAATTAATGAGATAGCAGGTTCATTGAGACCTATGAACATTTCTGAAAAATGAGGCCAAAAGGACTCTCAAAGGACAGATGTCTGTTAGTCAGGTTGGTTAAGAGCCCCAGCCGAGTGCATTTTCCCATAATTCAGTTACTTTTATTATATCAAGATGTCAGACTATTCCAGGACCTTTAGTATGAATTTTCGTGAAAACAAAACAAATTCTCTTCTGTTTGCTGTTGTTGTTTTTGGCATGCAAAATTTGCATCATGCTCATGCTGTCCTCCTAAACTAACCAAACTTATCGAACTATCAACTGGAACATAGAGATGGATAGCGAGTTCCAAAAAGTGCAAGACCTCTTCTGGCCTGCAGAAAGCTGTACAGCAGGGCAACCATTTATGCTAAAGCAGAATGATTTTCTGCCTTTCACACAAATTCATTTTAAATAACGATTTTCAGGCTTGACAGATGCTTCCATATGAGTCATGTTGGTTTTTGAGCTGATACCTGGAATCCAGCCAGGTCACACACCAGGGAAGCCCACAGTCTAACACAGGAATTGCCAGGGTGGAGGTTGCTTTTTGTATGTGCTATCTGCAAGGAAGACCAGACTAACAATTAAAAACAATCTGTTACTCCCTTGTGGTCATCATTAGCAACTTTCCTTAGGTATCAGTTCCTTTCAGCTCTGTGTGTAATATTTCTGTATTCAACATCCTCTTTT